GGTACGTGGAAGGAGGTGAGGGAGGAATGGGGTACGAGCCCCCAATGGGGAGGACTAGGGTGGCTCTGTGGGCTCGGCGTGGTGGAAGCTCTCCTGCAGCCCCCCCGATTGACTCCACCAGATGGCAGCCTGCAGCAAGTGCAGCCGGACTGATGGCCAAGTGCTGTGATGTGCCGAGTGCGGGCACTCAGGGCACTCCAAGACAGAACTGCTTTGCTGTCCCTCATCGAGGTAGACAAGCAAGCGGGGAACCCTGAGAACTGTCTGTCCGGGGTGGGGGTCGGGTCCCTTTAAGCACAGCCCTCAGCTAGACTGAGGAAGCAGCTCCACGTTCTAAGTCCTAACCTGATGCCCTACCGGCACCTGTTCAGGCCAGCCTTAACTTCAGTTCAGGGTCCACTCAATGTGGACATGCTAGTTCGAATTAGCAAAATGCTAATTCCAATTAGTTTTTAGGTCCAGATGCACTAGTTCGAATTAGCTTGAATTAACTAAGTCAAATTAAGTTAGTTCGAATTAGTGCTGTAGTGTAGACATACCCTCTTTTTCCAGGTATCCCAGGAAATCCTTCATCTTGATTAGGCAACAAAAGACAGGTTTGTTCTCTGGCGAAATTCCGCGTCTTGGGTGGGAGGGTCTGTTTTACAAAGTGGGGCTGTAGGTCCCCACAGTCCTCTGCTCTCATTTTGGGTGTGAGAGGGACCTATACATGCATGTAATGCGCCTCTGCAGAGCACCTCACTGGATGGGAGCTTCTGCAGTGTCTAGCCAGGCTGGGTTGGTGACTTGGGGGCAGCGGATGCACACGGCGTAGGAGGAAGCACCTAATTGGAAGAGTGTTACCTCACCCACTGAGAGACAACACCCTCCCATATGGGTTTGTATCTACCTGAGTAGAGGGCTGGAGATGGCTGGCTGCATGAGTTTACCCCAACTTTGGAACGGTCAGTGAATTTGCTCTGCCTGCCCCTTACTTTTACAGGACAGATGGTTGCAGGCTGATGCTTTCTGGATCTCCAGGCCCTCGGTCCTTGGAGTTTTAGCTAAAAGTCCACAAGCAAGCATCTCCCTATGATGACTCTAGCACTTTGGAATTTCCCCTTCCCCCAATTTTCCCAGCCTTGGATGCCTCTATAGACAATTCTGGTGGCTTCAGAAAATTTAGGGCTCATTATTGGGTGGCCATTCTCCTTCCCAGGCAGGCAATAAACCCCTGGCTCTGAAGCATGATCATTCTGTGTTGCCCTGATACCTCATAATTCTAGACTTTGTTGCCATTACACTGTGTTCTTCATTTGCAAATCAGGTCAGTCAGGAGGTCTGAGACCTTGTGAATGTGGTCATGTTGAGCCTTGTTATTTGTTGCTTTTCCAGAGCTGAGCTTTTTTGGTAGAATGTGAGATCTCAGGAGCCTAGTGCTATAAACGAGCAAGGTCGCTATGCTGATCCCTTGGTAACTAAGTGCGAAACTGCCATTTTCATCTCTCTGCTGCTTGTTGGGGTTAGCCAGCTCCTGGCTAATGCATTGTCGTAGTCACGGCTCTTTAGCTCCTAGGCTGCTAATCTTTGCATCTGTTTAAGACTGCCTGCACTGGTAATTTTTTAAAACGAAATGGATGCAGTTTGTGACAATGAAAGGTGCTGGGTTGATGCCAAGATAAGCTTCTAACTGTGCCACCAAGACAAGGGCAGTTCCTCCAACCATCTTGCAGGTGGAAGGGCTCTGCTGAGAGGTGAGGATTCTGCTTAGAATTCATGTCTTCTTGGGGTTTGTCCATACAGTGGAGTATCATGACCTACGGGGCATTTGGGTGGGGTATTTCCGATATGCACAAATATGTTGCACATTGCATATTAATTGATTGGTGTAGATCCTGCTGGTGTGCTTTAATGTAGTGCTATTTCAAACAGTATTATGTTAAAAGACACTACAGAACCTTTAGAGCATACTAGCAAGGTCCATACAGGCCAACTCCTATGTAACACGTTAGCATGCTTTAGAAATACCCCTCCGCCTCTCACACATAATGAAGCACATTATTCTACTGCCTAGACAAGACCTTGAATTTGGCCTCTTTCTTGGTCCTGCCAGGGCTCCATTTGTGACGGTTTCTCTGGAGTCCCCGACAGCAGAGATGGGACTTGATAGTAACAAATCTGAAGAGGATTCAGTAGTGTCAGCTCCAGGCATTCAAAAACCGTGCGTTAAACCCTGCCCACCAAAACTATAAGATTGGCTTAAAAATCATGAGATTTAAAAAATAATCTGGGTGGTTCTTCTTTGCTTTCTAATTTCTGAGCCTCCGAGGTGCATTGGTTCGTGTTCTCTGGCTTTTCTGCTCAGCATGAGGGTTAGAAACTTGTCTTTTTAAACACAAGCTAAACTGTCTTCTCATCGCACGAGTGCGGGAGTTGGGGGCTTTAAAAAAAGCAAATTAACAAAACGGCTCAGCACTGAAGGTTGCTCCTTTCGAGTGCCGGATGAGGGCAGTTCCTCTCTGGCTCTGCAGCTGCCAGAGCAAACAAACAAAACTTGGGCTACTTAATGTCACCAGCCAAATTCTCTGTAAATGATTTGGATGAAATGATGGAAGGAGCTTGCGGCTACAGTGCAGTTTCTGTGATGCAACTGCGTGTCCACAAGGAACTGGCTGGGACCTCCAGTTGAGTGCAGATAGGCCATCAAACAGCCACTGTGTAATGTCCTTATCGTCCCTGCCTGCCAGAGCTTGTCGACAGCATCTTTGAAGGAGGAGGTAGTTAATCTCCCTGCCCAGGGGTTGGACTGTGTTTGTTTTTAATGCCTGGGCCATTAAACCCAAAGAGGTACCTCAGGCTGCCTTTCCCAGAACACGTCTGGCAGTGTTAATGGGTTAGTGTTCTTCACAAATCCAGCCTGGCTGCTCTCCCGGCCCCTCCTAGGGCAGACAAGCAGGATGGTCACTCTGGGTGCCAACATCCTGACGTATTGCTGTGCCACAAGGATCTATTTTTTGCTTGTTCTGATTGGCTGGCTGTTTTGGCAGCTCCCCACCCCCAGCCTCTAGAGTCAGACCACAATGTCTGTGGGGAATTGAAGCTAAGAGACCATCTGGTCTAGTAAGAACATCCGTCTTGACTCCCCTCACAGACAAGTTTCTTAGCAGGACTTCAGTGAATCTCCAACTCCCTCTGCCCACCTTGCCTCAGCGACCCACTGCCAGTCGTCATGTAGCCCCTGCCTCAGGGGCACACTGCCATCTGAAATGGCCACTCAGCATCAGCCAGTGGTGTGGAGCTGCTGCCCCTCCTACATAGGGTTACCAGGTGTCCGGTATTTTCACCTCCTGTCCGGTAAAAAAAATTCAGAAAATACCAGACACCTAAGATTTCTGGTATTTTCTGATTTTTTTCCCCGGCCAGGAGGTGAAAAGGCTGGGCACCTGGCAACCCTACAAACACTCAGTGCCCAGCCCCCCAGTCCCCAACACCCCCAGCTCCCCACAAAATGGCTGCCAGCAAAAAGACCAAGGGGAAGCAATGACTCCCCTGGGTCTTAGTGCTCAACTGCTCCCCTGTTCCTATCCCTGCACTCACTCTTAAAGGGGACATGCTGTTTTATTTTTTTTTTTTTTGCTTAATAAGTCTTTGAGTCCTTTTTTTTGTCTCCCCCCTTTTTTTTTCCTTCAATAGAATTTTTTCCCAGTGTGGTTTTTTTTTTTTTGGAGGATGGAGGGCAGGTGTTCAGCATTTTTGTTTCAACCATCTGGCAACCCTGCTCGTACAGCCCTACTATCCTCAGGCCTTGAGAACCAGGCCTCAGCCTGGGAGTTTCTCTGGCCAGAGCTCCCCAGCCCTGCTCTGTGTCAGGAAGCCCCCAGCTTCCCTAGCAGCTAGATCCCTCCTGCTCCCCAGCTCTGAGACTTAGATTTTCTTCCCTTCCAGGAGCCTTTTTATACAGCCCTCAGCTGGGCCATAACTGGCCTCAGCCCCAGCCCTGGCTCCACAGCCTCAGCCCTGTCCTACTATCCTCAGGCCTTGAGAACCAGGCCTCAGCCTGGGAGTTTCTCTGGCCAGAGCTCCCCAGCCCTGCTCTGTGTCAGGAAGCCCCCAGCTTCCCTAGCAGCTAGATCCCTCCTGCTCCCCAGCTCTGAGACTTAGATTTTCTTCCCTTCCAGGAGCCTTTTTATACAGCCCTCAGCTGGGCCATAACTGGCCTCAGCCCCAGCCCTGGCTCCACAGCCTCAACCCTGTCCCCTTCTTAGGCCAGTGTGGGGCAGATGCCCTGTCACAATCTGTTTATGGGAGCTTGCAGGCTGGGAAGAGCACAGATGCATGCCAGGGTGCCTAGAGGGGAAGGCGTTCTTCTGGAGAGCAGGAGAGTGAGTGTCAGTGAGACCTGAGCTGGGGAGACAGTCACATTTGTCCAGCATCATGCTTCTAATTTCTGTCTCCTTTTCTACTTCAGCCTGCTGCGCCTGAGGGCCATGAGCTGTTCTCAGCATCTGGAGAGCCCAGAAGCTTTCTCTCTTCTTCAGGACCTCAGCCCTTGTAGAGGACCTTGCTGAGAGGAGCTCACTACTGGGAAAAGGCCTCCTGTAGCCCCTCCCAGGGTCTTGGGGCTCCCCCAAGGTAAGACTAATATTCATTCTCTTTCCTTAGCAAGCAGCCTCCTTGTTGTTCCTCATCTGAAGGCCCTTTGCTTCTTGGTTGCATTGTATCATGTCCCGTCCCTTGGCTTGTGCAGGCAAGGGTGTGATTCCTTGCACTTCAGTGACAGATGGTGGCAAGGTCTGGCATGTGCGCCTGTTGCTGCATGACATGTTGGTTGGCGTCTGCACTGTCCAAGACTTGCAGGGGGTTGTGGATGGGAGTAGGATGTGTATACATGGGTGATGTGTATATGTAGTTGAAATCTTCTACCAGCAGTACAGGAATTCCCTCTCTGCACTGCTTTTTGAAGGGATAGAGTCAGAGCTGAGGCCACATTTTAACTCACCTGCTCCATCTGTAAAGTCCAAGATACTGCTTATGTGTGTGCACCTTTTAGAGTACCCTTTGGTGGTCATAAAATGGTGCAGAATCATGGGGAGGGGGCAAGGGAACAGCCTGGCTGTGCTGACAGACCAGTGTGGTGAACCCAAACTAGAATGCTTAGGGTCCCTCCTGTGAGACACCCGAGGAGGATTTTTTGTTCTGGGGGCACTGAGATTGGTGTGTCTCGTGCTAGGTGCTGTACATAGGTAGCCCACACATAGGTAACCTAGTGGGTGTGGTTCACTGTCCCATGGAGTGGCACTTAGACCACTTACAGCAAGAAATAAGAACAAGTGAGCTCTACAGCCTAAGGGGAGAGCCAGCTGGCTGTATAGCTTGAGCTGTAGAGGTTCCTACACTGAGGTCCCAGGTTCAAATCTGCCTGGGGGTGGTTACACATGCACCTAGTAAGAGAGAGTTCCTGCCTCAAAACAAGCTAGACAGATGAAAGGTGGAGGGGCAAATGGGCACAGGGGGAGAAGTGCTGAAGTGTGAAGCTTTTTAACACAGTGTCATAGCTTTGGGCTATTGTGCATAATGCAATAAGTTGACATTGATACAGCTCCAGAAAACAGGCACAAACGAAAACCCCAGGATTAGCCCTTCCCTAACATTAGTGGTGGCACCTTTCAAACCGACACCGGTAGGGGAGGTTACTTGCCCATGATCGCCCAGCGGTGGAGTGGCAAAGGCAGAAACACAGCTCTTCTGACTCCTGCACCAGTGCCGTGTCTGCTAGGCCACGCTGCCTCCCCATAAGAAATGGGGTTGAGCAGCCTTGTGACGATGAACCAGGCCAGCCCCCTCGAATAGCTCTAAAACCAGGCATGTGAAGGTCACCGTCTGACTGTGCCCTCCTGTCCCTATGGATAAATCTCTAGAGCAGGTAATACTGCACACATTGTGTGTCTTTGATGGGCCTTGGATTCGGTCAGGATCTTAAAGGAGGAAGGCCTGCCCCCTCCCCCGGTCTCCTGCAAGCGGCCGTGGCGGCACAGAAAGGGTTTGCAATAAGCGACAGCTGGGTTGGGACAAAATGAAGTATAAGCCACTTGGACTCAAATGTTCCTGCCTCCCTCTTTGTGCTTCCAGCAGGGCAATCTCCCTCCTCATTAGATCCTAATGAGGCTGGGGGAGCTGAATTGTTGTGATTGGTTCAGCTCCACTGATGTGCTTTCCATATAATTTTCTGTAATTTGTCTCAATAAAACCCCTGAGAGTTCCCAGAATGGGCCCAGCCTTCTTTTCCCCAGCAGAGGCCTTGAGGGGCGAGGAAGAGCTGTTCAGCCGGAGGCAGCCAGGGGGTCAGTGCAGGGGAGTAGCTGCAGAGTATCACCATGGCATTGTCCGGAGGTTAGCAGGGTTCTTCTCCGAGCACAGGGTTATATGTATGCCCCATCACGAGAGCCCAGGGTGCTCCTGTGAGCTCCTGTGTCTGTAGGGTTGCCAGATGGTTTAACAAAAACTACTGAACACCCCCCTCCCCACCCCCAAGAGGGAAAAAATTCCGTTGAGGGGGGAAAAAAAAAGTGGGAAGACCAAAGTTATTAAGCAAAAAAAAAAAAAAAAGTGCTGCGCTTTTAAATGGCCCTATGCTCCTCACTCCCCAGCCCCCGCCACACGTGGTATGGGAAAATTATCCCTGCTGGGCTTCCATCTGAGGGAAACAAGAAATAGTGAACGGGGTACTGAAATAACAGACAGGCTGGGTGAAAATCAGACACCTGGCAACCCTATCTGTCTGGGAGTGACAGACAGACAGACACACACATGCACACTTCTCCCATCTGCCCTCTGCACTGCGTAGATTTTAGAGGGGGTGCACAGACACACTTTTGGGGTGCTGGTGCCTTATCATCACTAGGAAAAAGGGGTGCTCTTAACTCAGGGCGAAATCCTGCAGAAGACCGGACAGTTTACATTGCTTAGCAGGCTGAGTTGAAGACTATCCCTCCCCCGCCACCCTAACCCGTAGCAGGATGTCACCCTAAAGGGCTGACCCACAGGAAAATCGGGAGCCACACACATGTGAGAAGGACAAAAAGAAAAACAAGCCCTCCCTGACATGACTCCACATGTCCCCTACACATCAGAGCCTAGGGGGTCCAGGCTAGTAAATTTTGTGTGCTCCATTCCTGAAGTGGGATGGCAGGGGGGCTGGAGCACCAGCATGGGCTCCCTACTGTTGGGGGGGAGCCCTGAGCTTCGGGGCCTGGATTCAGGCAAGCCAAAGGCTGCATCCGGCCCTCGGGCCTTAGGTTCCCCTCCCGCTATAGCACATTGGAGCCTTCTAACTCAGCTTGCTAACTCATGTGCGTGCTTCCTCCTTCCCTAGGGTTTATCCCGAGCGAAGAGGTGCCCAGTGCATTGATAGCCGCTGCTCGGTTGGAGGGCAGGCGGTGCAGATGCACCCAGTTGCTGGGTGCTGCTGAGCAGGCTTGGTGTGATGTTGGGCTGTGTGCACTCATGCAGGGGGCGCCGGAAGGGAAGCTACTCTGGGTCCGGTGTCCTCAGGAGTCTGAGGTGGCTGCCTTCTGGCTGAGGGCACAGTCCTCCGGTGCGCCATCGCGTGCAACAGTACAAAGCAGCAGAGAATCCACCAGACGGGCTGCGCAGAAGCTCTGCCCCGGAGGAAGTGATGACACCAGCGGCAAGGCAGTGGAGAAACAGGCCCCGCGAGGCTGAGGGGGAGGAAAGCTGCAGGCAGCAGTGCCTGCGTGTGTGCCCAGGGGATCGCTAGCTTGGCGCACACCCTCGCTCCGTCTCCAGCAATGGCCTGCCCCACGTGTCCCAGCCGGGCCTTGTGTGCCTTCCTGTGGTGCCACGCGTGGGAGGATCTGCCCCGGGAAGGATGCACCTGCCCCCTCGTAGTCCGGGTGGGGGTGAAGCAGGGGGTATTACAGGCCTTCCAAAGCCTCCGGTCGCAAGGCCAACCCTGAGTCTGGGTATTCTCGTTACACATCTCCATGCCCAGCCCTGCGCAGAGGGATCTGAACGTGTTTGTGTACACAAACTGCACCTTTGATTTTCTGTGTGAAGGCAAATACCGAGTGACTGCCAGGCAGAGAGTGCGGCTTGGGGAAAGGTGCTTTGTGATCTGGGCAGTGGGAAAGTGGGGGCCGGGGACTAAAATCCCTGCAAGGTACAAAGCTTCTCCCTTCCTGCTAGCCAGCGCGTACACACTAGGCACAGGATTGCTGTCCGTGTTGGGGAGGGACGCTAACCGAATGCAGTAATACTCTGCCCACGAGCCCCTTCGCCAGGTCCAGTAGCCCACGCTCCCTCGCGTTAGCTGAAGTAAGCTTTGGCTTAAGGCTTACGGTAGCGATGGGAGGTTTTCTCGCAGGCCCGGACTGTGGTGCCCTACAGGAAAAGGACAAGACGTGGGGTTGTTCTACCCTGGCACAGAGCTCGGAGGCGCCTTTGTGGATGCATGTGCTCCGAGCCCCGAGAGAAGGGGCACTCCTTGGCACCAGGCAAGCCAGGGAGGAAGCTCACAGGCTGGCTAGTTTCAGTGGAGGTGCATGGTACCTTTGTATGCGCAGCCAGGGGGGAGGAAGACAGCTCGCTTTAGGAGACGGTGCAGAGGCAGGGTTGCTATTTGCTGTGTGGCTTGTGGTGCCATGCACGGTGCTGTCCCAGCACGGAGTGAGAGACCGTCCTGGACAGGCTGGGAAGCAGAGGCTGGGTGAGGTGAAATGACTTGCCCAAGTCACTCAGCAGCCCTAGCTTCCCCCTCCTGCCTGTGCCCAACGCATGAGAGTCACCCGCAAGCCGGCCAGCAAGCAGCCCCCCTCTCCTGCAAAGATGGGGAGAGACTAATGAGATGGCATTTCCCCGCCGCAGCCCCTGCCAGCACTAGGCAAAAGGCAAGGCTGGAAGCAGCCTGCTGCCTTGCCACCAAAGGTACCGAGGCAATAGGGCTCCTGCCAGGGGAGGGGGGCCGGGGTTGTTCTGGAAATCCAAGTAGCAGGAAGCTTTATCCAGAGGAGCTGAGAACTGTCTCTTTTTGACCAGGCTTGGTCTCTTCCGAAATCTCCCTCCAAAGGAAAACATTAAGCCTAACAGTGCTGCTAGCATGGGCTGCCCGGTGCGAGTAAGCAGATTAAAAGGGATCCTTGCTCCAGCTGCCCTGCTGGGGGGTATCCCGGGCCTCCAAGCCAGTTCCCTGCTTAAAGGGAGCCGCTTTGGTGAACTCAGAGCATGAGAGGTCAGGCGGCTCCCAGGGGCTCTCTGCTGGGGAGAGGAGCAGAGATGGAAAGGAATTGGACGCTCCCCAGGATGACGGGAAAACAGAGGGCGGGGGCTGACGTGGGGGGGCCAGGCTCCAGGGCACAGAAGATGCTGAAGACTGATGGGGATTGTGAAGCTGCCCAGGCATGTGAAGTTTTGGGAGGGATGGGGTCTTGGCTCTGCTGCTGCTCCTCTCTCCCAGCATGACTTGCCATCAGCTGTTCTGGGCTGGTGGTGGCTGTCAGGGGGTAGATGGTAGGGGCTCGTCAGTGCTTTCCCCAGCAAACCCAGCTTGCATGCCCAGACGGGGGAGATGACACCACCCCAGGCCTGGTCTGCCTGAGGGAGATTGGCAGCTGTCG